GCTGACACCTCTTTTGTATGTCGACTTCATTTACTTCAGATACATACCCAGGAATGGAATAGTTGGATCATACCATAGGACTGTTTTTAGTCTCTTGAGTTATCTTCCTACTGTTTTCTATTGTGGATGTACTAATTTACATTCCAGTAAAGGTGCATAACAGTTCCTTTTTCTCCTCATCCCTTTCAATATTTGTTACTTTAAAAAAAAGTTCTAACAACTATTCTAATTAGGTAACATGATATCTCATTGTGGTTTTGATTTGTATTTCCCTGATGGCTACCGACATTGAGCATTTTCCATATACTTACTAGCCATTTTTATGAGAATTGTCTGTTCAGATCATGCATCCATTTTTAATTGGATTTCTTGTTTTTTATTGTAGAGTTTTAGAGTTCTTTTTATATTAACCCTCTGTCAAGATGAAGAGCTGGCAAAGATTTTCTCACATTCTATAGATTGGTCTTCATTCTCTTATTATTTCCTTTGAGAAGCTTTTTTAGTTTGATATAATGTCACTTGTCAATTTTTGCTTTTGTTTCCTATGCAGCAATATCTTGATGTATTTTCCATGTTTTCCTCCAGTGTTTTCAGGTCCATTTTGAGCTGACTTTTATACAGAGTAGGAGACAGAATAGGAGTCAAGTTTTAATCTTCTGCATGCAGATATTCAGTTTCCCCAGTCCCATTTGTTGAAGAAGCTGTCTTTTCTCCAATATGTTTTGGTCACCTTTGTTGAGTATCAGTTGGCTGTAGATTCCTGTATTTATTTCTGGGTTCTCTAGTCTATTTCATTGCTCTATGTGTTTGTTTTTATGCTAATACTATGCTGTTTTGGTTCCTGTGGGTCTGTAGTATATTTCAAAATCAGGCATTGTGATGCTTCCAAGCATTGCTTAGGATTGCTTTGGCTGCTCAGGCTTTTTTGTGCTTCCATGTGAATTTCGGTTTTTATTTTTTCTTTCTAGTCTAGGAAGAATGCAATTGGCATTTTGGTAAGAACCCATAGATGCTTTGTGTAGCATGGATTTTTTAGCAATATTATTTTTTCTAATCCATAAACATGGGAGGCCTTCAGTTTCTTCTACCAGTGTTTATAATCTCATTGTAGAGCTCTTTAACTTTCTTAGTTAAGTTTATTCCCAGGCATTTTATTTTTGTCAGCATTGCAAATGGGTTTCCTTTCATTATTTCTTTCTTAGAAAATTGTTTTTGATAGTTAGAAAAGTTACTGATTTTTATATTAATTTTTTATTCTGCTTCTTATCAGTTCGAATAGTCTTTTGGTGGAATATTCAGAATTTTCTATGTATAAAATCATATCTGAAAATAGATAATTTTAGTTTCCTACTTATTTGCCTTTCATTTCTTTCTTTTACATAATTGCTTTGGCTAAAACTTCTAGTACTACATTGAATAAAATCAGTGACAGAGGACACCTTTGTTTTCTTCCTGATCTTAAAGAAAATGATTTTAGTTTTCCCCCTTTTAGTATCTTGTTGATTGTTGGTTTGCCAAATATAGCCTTCATTATTTTGGGGTATAATCTTTCTAAACTAATTTCTTTAGGGCTTTTATCATGAAGGGTTGTTGAATTTTATGAAATTCATTTACCACATCTATTGAAATGAGCATATGCTTTTTATCCCTTGTTATATTTATGTGATACTGTGCACTTTTGGGAACTGAGTGATGTCTGGGGCTTTTCTTCCCCTGACTCTTTCAGCTGTAGTGCCCACCTAGGAGTGAGTAGTAGTGGGTTGCAGCTGGAACAGGGCACAATTCCTTTTGGGAAAAATTCTCCCTTGGCCCTGCATGCACAGGATTAGGGTGATGGTTGAGGCTTTTCTTCTCGGACTCCTTCAGCTCAAGTACCTGTGGGAGAGAGAAGAGCAGAACTTAGCTTGTGCCAGGCAAACCATCTCTCTAGACCTCTTCAGGCCATGTGTTCTAGAGGTGGGTGACAGTAAGAATGCAGATTTGCTCAAGGCCACCCCAGCATTCCCCTTCTGATGGTGCAGAAGTGGAACCATGGAGTTAGTTTCCTGCCCTGTTAGGGACAGGAGCCCACACTCAGTGCTGATGGGAACACATGGGTGACTGCCTTCAGTCCTGGCACCCACGTGAATCTGCACGACTGGCCACCCTGATCTTGGAGAACAGGCTCACTGATTTCCCAGTTCTTGAGTGCAGTGCCCTCTGGTACCCTTCAGATTGCAAAATCTGTCCCCTACAGTGCAGGGAACCCAGAGGATTTGTCAGAGTCACTCTAATGAACCAAGTTTGGTTCAGGAGGCAGCTGCCAACTGAGCCCATGCAGTAGGGTCCCAAAGATGTGACTACTGGGGCAACAGGTGCTGTGATATTTCCTCTTAGTATACTGTTGTCCCAGCTCTCCGAATCAGACAAGGTTTCTGTTTTTCTCCTGCTGATCTCCAGTGTTCCTCCACAATCATTCACCTCAAAATGTAGCTGTATAACTGTTGCTTTGTTCTTTGTGGAGGAACAGGTGAGAGCTGAGTACCTCTATTCTGCCACTCTTCTGTGTCTGACTCCTTTCACTTACCATAATATTTTAAAGGTACACTGGTATTGTAGTGTGTATCAGTATTTCAGTCCTTTATATGACTGAAAAATATTCTGTTGTATGGATGTAGCACATTTTGTTCATTCATTCATCAGTTCAAGGACATAAGATTATTTGTACTTTTTGGCTATTGTGAATAGTGTTGATATGAACATTTAGAAACATGGTTTGGGTGGAGATGTTTGTACTTTCTTTAGTTATATGCTTAGTAGTGCAATTATTGAGCCATAAAGCAAGTTTATGGTTAACCTCTTGCCAACATTTGATATTTTCCTCTTTAAAATGGTATGAATACTCGGTATGAGTGGCATCTCATTGTGGTTTTAATTTATAATTTCCTAGTGATTAATGGTGTTTGGCATCTTTTCATTCGTTTGCCATTTGTTTATCTTCTTCTGAGAAATATATTTTTCAAGCCATTTGTCCATTTTATAATTGTGTTCTTTGTTTTTTATTATTAAGTTGGAAGAGTTCTTTACATGTTCTTGGTACTAGATTCTTACAAGATATGATTTTTCAAGCATTTTCTCCCATTCTATAACTTATCTTTTCATTTTCTTTGATAAATACCATTTGGTACACAAAACACTTATCTATTTGTTGCTGTTATTGTTTGTACTGCCTATGTAATAAGTAATAAACTATTGCCAAATTCAAGGTGATAGACTAATACTATGTTTTATCCTAAGAATTTTATAGTTTTAGCACTTATACAAAAGTTATTGATCCACTTTGAGTAATTTTCTATATGGTATAAAGAAAGGGTTCAACTTTATTATTTTACGTGTGGATATCTAATTGTTCTGGCAACATTTTTTGAAGAGGTTATCCTTTCCTCATTCCTGTCATAAATGTGTGTGCATATTTTGCCCTCTTAATTCTAGACCACTGTTCTATATTTCTATCATTATGCCAGTATAACACCGTTTTCATTACTATTGTTTTATAGTAAGTTTTGAAATTTGGAAGAATGAATCCTTTAAATTTGTTCTTTTTCAACATTGCTTTGAACATTAGGGTTCTTTTACAATTTCATATGAGTTTCAGGATTGACATTTCAATTTCTACAAAAAAGGCTTGATAGTGTTGATAGTGATATTTCTTGATAGAGTTTTGATAGTGATGGCATTGAATCAATAGATTGCTTTGGGCAGTACTGCCATTTCCACAACATAAGTCTTCCAATGATTGAACTTGGGATATTTTCCATTTACTAAGATCTTCATTAAAACTTTCAGCAATAATTTTTAGTATAAAAGTACTTTACCTCCTTGGATAAGTGATTTTCTGAGTATCTTGTTGATTTTTTGGAAGCCCTTGTAAATTGTTTTCTTAATTTTCTTTTCAGGTTCTTCATTTCTGGTGTAAACAAACTAACTTACTTTTATGTATTGATCTTGTGCCTTGTAACTTTACTGAAATTGTTCATTAGCTTTCATGTTACTTTTTTCCTTTAAATGTTTGATAGAATTCACTAGTAAAACCACTGGGCATGGTGTTGTCTTGTTTGAAAGATTATTAATTATTGATTAAATTTGTTGAATAGGTATAGACCCATTGAGGTTGTTTATTTCTACTTGTGTGTGTTTTGGTAGCTGGTGTCTTTTACAGAATTTGTCTATTTCATCTGAATTATCCAATTTATGCAGACAAAGTCATAATATTCTTTTTTATCCTTTTAGTGTCTATGAAATGAATAATTATGGCTTCCTCTTTCATTTCCAATATTAGTAATTTGTTTCTTCTCACATTTTTTTCTTGGTTAGCTTGGTTAGAGGTTTATCAGTTTTATTGATCTTCAAACTAACTTTTGATTTCATTGATTTTTCTGATGTTTTCATTTTATTGATCTTCTACCTTCCTGCAACTAGATATTTGTATCCTTCTCCAGGTTTGGGAAGCTTTCTGTTACTACCTCTTTGAATTATCTTTCCACCCCTTTGGCATTCTCTAGTCCTTCCCAATAACCTGAACAGTTGCTCTTAAGTTCCCATAGGCTTTCTTCATTTCTCTTGATTTCCTTTTCTTTTATCCCTTCCATCTGTGTATTATTAAACAGTCTATGTCTGAGCTCACTAATTCATTCTCTGGTTTTTTTTATCTTGCTACTGATCTTACTTTTTGGAAATGTGAGATCAACACAATCTTCTGTACCCCATGAATGTAGACATGTATTTTTAAAAATAACCTTTACAGTATTTGAATGTTGTTTAAATATGAATGACTTTAGCTTGGCCATGTTTCTGGTTCTCCACTATCTCAGTCTCCTCTCTGCCTGCATGACAGTTTGCATCTATAAATTTTATCCTATACCTTCTTAGTTCACAATAATTTAGTAACCAAGTATTTAAAATGTGATTCTGAGTTCTTACATTAGGTTCTGCTTTATGCCTTGTTTTTCTCTTGGATTTAGGCTTTGGAAGATCGGGTATGGGAACTCTTGCAAGAAGCAGACAAGACAGCTGAAGAGAACAAGGATCAGAGTCAGGTCTATGATGCCATGGCCCAGACCCTTGGTGAAGCATGGGCAGCCCTGGTCTCCATGCTTGAAAGAAGAAGAGAGCTCCTTAGGTTGACTTCTGAATTTTTTGAAAATGCTTTGGAGGTTTGTGTTTTAAAAAACATTTCCCTTCTTTACATCAAAGAAAATAAATAGCACACCTGAAAATGTTCTATTTCCCACAATAGATGTTGCAACCATATTAAAAAATGGCAGAATAATCAGAACATATGCAGTACATTTAATTTTTTGATTATCAAAATCTAAAATTAAGATTTTACATGTAGCTTTTCAAGCAAAAACTAAATATAGTTAGTTAACATTCAGTGACATATTAAGTAAAACTAGGAATTCTTACTCATAGTTTATTTTGATTTTTTCCCCTCTTTAGAAAACAATAATGCAGTTAGCAAATCAAACAATTATCTTGATTATATGGCTATTAGAAATGCTGATCTGTAGTGTTCTTGCTAGCTAAAAGTCAGATAAAATTTCCTTTTTTTTTTTTTTTGGTGGGACTGGGGCTTGAACTTAGAGTTTCACACTTGGAAAGTGGTTGCTCTTCCAATTCAATCACACCTCCAGTCCAGTTGGACAAAATTTCTTCTCATTTAAAAAGAAAGAATTACAGAATATTCCATGGAATGTTTGACTCATAAACATAACATTTTTATAGAGTTCTTTCCTAAGGCATATTGTTGATTTTTCATAGTTTGAGCTCCTTAAAATACAAGGGAAAAAAAGTACTGGACCTCACAAAGTCATTTCATCCTATATTTTTCTTGAATTCTGTGATTTATTTTAAGGTTTCCAATTTCAAAATGTGAGACTCAAAGAACATTATCAAAAGAAGTGTTATATTTGGTGTAAAACAGCTATTGAAAATTTCACTTTTTAACTTCTCTGTCAAGTGGCAGCACATTCTTTCTGATTCAAGAGCAATGCTTCATTATGATAAAGCAGTACCTTTGAAAACTATGACATTTTTAAATGGAAAATTCAGTACTTAAATCCCAAATAATAAAGGAAAGAAGATTAGTAATAGAACATAAAAATTGAGGTAGACAATCTCATGCATCACGAACCTGTTTAAAAGCAAAAGGAGGAGTGAAAATCTAATTGTAACATTCAAGATTTGCTCTCCATAGTTTGAACACTGAAGTCCAACTCACAGTTTATTTTGTAGACCATCTTGGGATAAAGGTTCTATCTACAATCTTTTTTCCTGAGAAGAAATAAACTGGTTGAAATATGTCTACAGAAGCCAAATTACAGATACAGCCAATTCATTCCCTTTTAGTAAGTGGGCTATACATGTCAACTGCTCTTAAACTCAACTCCTCTGAACATAAGCTATAATCTTTTTTTTTGTAATATTAGGCTCAATATTTGTTTCGTGCAGTGTTTTAATGCTAATGCTACTAATTTTCTCCATGATGTAGAAATTACTTCCAGATATTACATGGAGTAAAAGGAAACATTAAGTCAAACCACATCAACCCAGCACTTCTATCCTTATACTTGAGTGAGTTTTTATTGGATCTAGGAAATGTTTCTGCTTTATCCTGCTTCCAATTTTGTAGACTACTCACACTAAGCAGAATTCTACACAATCTTCAGTCCCCTCTGTACATCAAGCATTTTTACCAGCAATTAAAAGGGAGAAATTAATAATAAGCTTCTGAAAAGTGTCCCTCCACTTCTACTCCATACAAGCTGCAGAAAAAACAAAGGTGTAACTTTCAGGTGGGGAAATAAGAATATCAACAAGATAAAAATTAACAGAGCAGCAAAGTAACTTGAGTATTGTCTTTTTTTTTTTAATTTGAATAAAAATTTAAAATATAGATATAAGTTATACAGTAACTCTAAAACTTTCTGCAGTATTCTATAGAGACAAAACAAATCACCTCTGAGGTATTATTTTCTCTCTCTCTCTCTTTTTAAGGGTCTCTTCAAAGAATATATTCAGGAGACCTGTTGAAACTATTCCGTGAATGGTGTGGGGTGGGGTGAATAAAAGAGAATGAGGGAGGGAGTGAATTAAACTGTGATATATTGTAAGAACTTTTGTAAATGCCTCAATAAACCCCCAGTACAACAATAATATGATAATACAAAGTATAAAAAAAGAATATCTTTAAAATCAGTTATTAGAACCATGCATTATGCTGCAGGCCTTTAATCCTATCATTCAGGAAGCCTTCTGTACATTTCAAAAAACTACCTGCTCTTCAGTTCCATTTGCAACTGTATTTTATGCAGCTGTTGTAGTAACCAAATACAGTGGAGCTTATTAATCATAAAAATATTAAGCCACCAAATTCAAAGATGATAGCGTAGCAAAAACTTGAAGAGGAGCCAAAGCACTGGCAATAGGTAGCCTTCCTTGCCTGTCCCACTGAGGCTTGTCTATATTATTTTATCCTAAGCCTAATCCAAAGGTGAGTACATTGATGAACTTGCTCTTTATACCCGAAAGCAGATCAGTTAAACCTCAGCACTAAAACACACCAGCCATTTGACTGCCACCATGGCCTCACTGCAATAGCACATCCAAATACGTTTGCTCTCTTCTAAAGTTTGTTTCTGAGATTATCCCCTTGACAACCTCACTTTAAACTTCTCTTTCTCTCTCTGCTTACTTTATGGAGAAAAGCAACAACAGCAGAAGATTCAGCGGATTGCTCGCCATGTAGGATGTCTCCTTTGAAACAGAGGAAACAGTCACTATTTTTTATTCTTGCTCTAGCTAGAATAATAATGAATAATGCACAAATGTTATTGGTAAAATTACAAATTATAACTTCAAAAGCTTAAACCCACCCTAATACTATTCCTTCACATAAAGGTAGCCATTTGTTTGGCAGATCTCTTTTCAGTTGACTTGTGTGTGTGTGTGCGTGTGTGTGTGTGTGTAATGCTTTCTATTAATAATGGGATTTACTGTTCTGAAACTTGTAATTTTTACTTGTAAATTTAATCATAGAGGGGAAAAATAACTATTTTTCAAACTTCTCCCTGAGATCATAAGTGAAATTCACTTGTATTTTTAGGATACTTATTTGCCAACTTTTTATTGGTTTCTCTCAGCAAGTTTTCTGCTTATTCTTTAAGAAACTGTCTTAGAGGGTTGAAAGTGATTAAATTTATTACACATTCATTTGGGGTGAAAAGTAAGCAGGTTGGTTTATTTTGGCACACATGACATAGTTTTAGAGATGAAAGAAATTTAAAGGAAGGAGAAACTGTGACACTTCGTAAATTGGCCACATGCAACACACACACGCACACCATCACACAAACATATACATACAAACACATGCAGTCAGCTAGGCCATCAATATATAAAATATATATACAAATAACTAATGCTGGTACATTGACATTTATTGTTTTCATGTCTTTCCCCTGTATTTGTGTTGTAGTTTGCTTTTAAAATAGACCAGGCTGAAGATTTCCTCCGGAATCCTCATGAGTTTGAGAATCCCGAGTCCATAAAATCACTTCTTCAGCTTCACGAACATCATACTAAAGGCAAGAAATGTATTTATTCTTTACATATTCCTTTAAAGTTTTCAAAAGATGCAAACATAAGGATGCTAATGTAGATGGTGTGTTTTTAATTTTTCTGTTTATGAACACCTCAACTTTTCCAAGAAAAGATAAATAAACTTTAGTTTTGGTCACTTCCTGAAAGGAAGTATTAGTTGTAAATGATCCTAAGGGATGGTAGCAGAAGAGCCCAGGAGATTCAGTTATCTGGACCACTAGATTTTTCATTCCTGAGCTCAGAGGATGGTTCCATCTTGTTCATCCTTTTATCCTTAGCACTCAGCAAGGTGCCCAGTACATGGCAGATCCTTAAGAAGTAAGTACTTTCTGAGTGAATTTAGTGTATATTCTTTCTAAGGATAAACAAATGAAGGCTGGCCTTCACATGGCAACTGTGAATATGGAAAAATTTTGTTTTATTATTGCAGTTAAAAGCATAGTGAACTTTCTCCACATAAAAGTATAATAAAACATCATGTAAAAAGATTTCCAACTCCCTCTAAACAAAAAGATACTCTATTTTTTAAGCAAAAATTTCTGTGGCAAACCTTTTCCATGAGAATTTGGGGCTAACTGTGGCTGGAATAGAGAAAGTATTTGTCTATGAAAGTAGGGCATATAAAAAGGAAACATCACTTCTTTTCTTCTTAATGTGCCTTCTAATCAGGATTGTATATAAATTCAGAAGTATTCTTGAATTTATTTGTCATGGTTTTAACTTGACTTTTAGCTCTACAGGTTTGACCATGCTGAAAAAGGAAAAAAGCACATTTTTAAAGCCACAAACACATACATGTCTTTATACTACCCCTCAAAAGACCCTGGATAATAGACCATTGTGACTAATTGCTTACCACAACTTTTCTCAAACTTAAAGAATAATGGCTCAATCTTTCCAGTATACATTTTTAGGCGAACCTATCAAATACATAGATGTAATTTCAACTGATTATTGTTCCATAGCATCTATAACTAACAAAGATCATAAACGTTATCAAAAGATTTGGCATTGAAGTAGTGGCTGCCCATTTGGGGATGGCAGCAGCAAACTATCTGGGTGCCCACTGCATGGCAGAATCATGTAAAATCCTGCTAGAAGACTGGAAAGTGAGTGAGTCCAGAAACTGAGATGGGTTCTGTGGTCTCAATTCAATCTTTTCCAGTCAACATGATCATCCATCTCACAATTTTACCTCTGGAAACCTGGTTGTGGAGAATGCTTTTGTTGAAGAGTTTCTTTACTGAGGCAATCAAGTGAGTTTTCTAGAGAGATTGGTGGGTTATGAAAGAAGGGACTTTTCCACAAATATTTGGAGATGAAGTGCAAAGGGGGAAAACTAGTCTACGCACTGTCTCATTGCTGTTGCTAGCTCCTTCAGTTAGCAGGATCTGTGCTATAGCAAGCTGGTACACATGAGCACATGCTGCTTTTGTTTGGAGGCTGTATACTGTATACTGTATATATCCTGGCATCTGGCTTCCAGGACCAACCTCTTGCTTTCCATGGCATAGTTTTTGAGAGTCCACTTGGCCAACTCTAAGACTGAAAAGATGGACAAAAACACTAGTTAAAGACAGGAAACATACTTTACTTTTTGTGATGACAAAATATTGTTGTATCCCTATGGCATCTTGATTAGAACATTTTTGTCTCCTTCTATGTAATACATAAGTGATTGTAGAGGACTGTGATCAGGATATCTGGCTCCTAATCCATTTTCTGCCCAATGGTGGCTTTGTTTTCATAAAATGAGAGTTGATAAAATACATTAATCAGCCAATTCAGTGGGATATGATTAGATTAGTTGGTTTGAAATGCATATTAATGGATATTTTGATTTTTTAGTTCAAGGCCTCATATTTATTATTCTTAAACTTAAGGAAATAAAATGACTGAGTATAGCTAGCAGTTCTAATGAATTTCTGAGATGTTCATCAGTTGAGTAGTATAAAAAGTGAGTGTTAGGATGACAAGAACTAGTAAAACTGCAATCAAACTCACCCCAAACAGTCACCTTATTTCAATTAGCTTCACCTAGGCCTTTCCTTATTCAGCAATGCTAAAGGTGTGCTGTATATAAGAAAGTTGTTCTATAATGTTGCAGAGGTCAGAACCAGGATGAATGGGTTGAGGTTTCTGAAGTGGAATTCTGTCTGGGATATTACAGAATAAGTCTTTTCCTTCACAAGACAATTCTTGACATAGCTGAGGTATAACAGATCTCCTCTTGTCTTCTCTCCTTTGGGTTAAACATGCCTAGTTCAAATCTTTCCTAGCAAACATGGTTTCCAGACTACTTATCCAACTTGGGTGGCCTCAATTCAAGGACCCAGAATTAAATAATATTTCTGAACCTGTGCCTGATGAGAAACCCACAGCCATGTGTCAGTGGAGTACATGGCCCTTAGCCTTAGGGAGCTCAGTTTAGTACAGGGGTGTGTTCACACTTGCCAGTGACTTCCCTCTGTACTTCCTATGGGTACCTCTGTTACAACACCCAGCACACTGGATAGTAATAAGTTATTTCCTTATTCACCTCCATCACGTGGGTGTGAGACCCTGGATGGCAGGGATTAGTATATCTCTGAATCTCTAGGATGTAGAATAGTGTCTAACCCAAACTGGTTTTTGTAAATAATTCCAATGTAAAATATGGTAGAATGATGCAAAAGCAATCAATAAGCAAGACACTACAGTGACATTCAGAAAGAGAAAATTTATTTTAAACACAGATGATCACAACTGTGCCCTCCAGTTTTTCAGTGGCCTTCTTAAAATAAATATAATATCTACTAGGTATTATGGCAGGAAAATCATATTATTTCTTCTTCTTTTTTTTTTTTTAACCTTCTTAGATACTGTTTTAACCTTTGTTTTTAGATGGGGGGGCTGTGTATCAAACCCAGAGCCTCATGATAGTAGGCAAGTACTCTCCCACTGAGTCACATCCATAGTCCCCTGTTCTACATGTTTTAACCAAAGCTGGGAACTAGGCTCATGGAAATCTCTTATTCTATTATCTCACTCCTCAGCATATTTGAAAATGCCCACTAAGTATATTTAAGGAAAAAATTTCACTGAGAAACATTTGGTATACATACAAATGTATTAAGAAGAAATATGCATGATCTCAGTACCAAGACTGTGATCTTTTTAGAAGGCATTCATTTGGGAAGCTTGCTTAATAAGCTATAGGCCCACCTAACTTATATACATCCCTCATTAATTGACCTTAAGTTGGTTGTTTATACTTAATAATTATGTACTTTAATGTTACTTTTTGATCAATAAAAATTAATCGAACCAATGAAACAATGAAAATTTTATTGAATACATACCATCTTCATATCACAAAGTATTGTACAAATAGGTAGAGTTTTATATATGCAAAAATATATAATCTTTAAAATAAGTGAACTGGAAAGATTTTATATTCTTGAAGGTCACCATATAGTTGAGACAGTTTACGGTGAGAGAAGTACATCATCTATATGATCAAATGATGCAATAAGTAGCAAAGAAAACATGAACTGTAAAACATAAGATGTAAGAAACTGACAGAGGAAGGCCAATGGAACTGGCAGAGGGAACAGAGGGAAGAATTTGTCCTCTTAAATGACCCTTACTGTGGTAGACCACGGACTGATTGCAGCCTCAGTATATGATCTTAGTTTTTTGCACCTGTGTCAAAGTATCCGAGCAAACAAGTGAGGAGAGGAAAGGTTTACTTTGGCTCATGGTTTCAGTCCATGGACCACCAGGCTCTGCTGCTTCTGAACCCATGTACGGTAAGGCAGAACATCATGGCTGTGTGCATGAGGTGGTGCAAACTCACTCACTGCATGTCAGACAAGAGGCAGAGAGGAATAGAAAGGGGGCAGGGAAAGATACAACCTTAGAAGGCATGCCCTTGTGACCGACTTCCTCCAACCCCAACTTCTAATAGCCATTCAGTATGAGCTCAGCAGTAGACTAGCCTATAGAAGAAGTTAGTACCCCTGTGATCTAGTTACCTCTCAATGGTGCCACCAGCTGGAACCAGGTCCTCAACACATGAGCCTTTTGGGGGAACATTTTAGAGTCAAACCATAACAATTTACATGTTAACTTTGTGTGTCTGATGGTAGTGTGGTTGAGGTTATACTTTTCAGCAGGAGGTAGAACAGAAAATCAAAAAAAGAATGCATAGTGAAATTTTTGGTAATTATACGTATTTTCAAGAGGCCAGAGCAGTTTGATCTCATTCACTGTCAGACTGCAATACCCTGAGAACCTGAGGTTGTGCTTCCCTCTCTCATTTCAAAAATCTAACGTATAAGAGCTTGTTATAGGAAAATGAAAAGAAAAACCACGTGGAAACGCTGCTGCGTTTTATTGGACAGATGAGGTCATGTGCTTAAAAACTACTTCAAATTCTTCCCTTTTCATCTCAAAGTGAATCTTTACAGAATATTCACTTAATTCATTCTCCCCTCCAGCTCTCAAGAAAGTTGTCAGGTGAAAGAGACAACTGGCCCCATGACTTTAGCCTAATCATTGCAAGGTTATTAACTGCATGCTAGATTGCTGAAGTAGAATGATGCCAGAGAATGGGAAGAACATGGAGCTGCGAATCACAAGACTAGGATTTTGGCACTGGATTAATTTATTTATTTGTAGCAGTGTAGTATTTGGTAATGCTTACCTTCTGGCTCTTCTTCACCATGCTCCTGTGAAGAGCAGTGAGATCAACCCCACTATTTTCATGATTATTCTGACAACAAATGTCTTAAAGATTATCCTGTCTTGCTGCTGTATCACTGCGTTCCCATTTCTCAACCTGGTCACTTGACTTCTCTTTTCATCAATTACCCAATCACAAAATTCTATGACTTTTCAAATTTTTCTCTTTTTTACATCTCCTAACAAGTACTGATCTCTTGTTTCTGTAGTTCTCCTAATTCTCCCACCTTCCTTTAATACATTTGATCCCACTTAAGCATTCTCCAAATGTTATTAAACATCTCCCCTGTGCCAGTTACTTTGGTAAATGCTGGTGATGTACTCATGGTTCCTGTCCCTATATTTCATTGGGGCCTAGTCACAAAGACATATATTAAGTGAATAACCACATGCATAAATGTAAGATTATAGCCAGGATCAGAGCTGTGAATGAGTGTAACATTGTGCTATCAGAACACTTGATGGGAAGATTTGATTAGATCTGGGTTGTCCTTTGAAGAGCTGACAGTTGACTAAGAACTGAAGTATGAGTAGGATAAAGGTAGAGAAGAAGAGAATTGATGAGAATGTCATTTCTGGCAGAGAAAGTTGTGGGATGTATAGAGGCAGGAGGGAGCACAGATGTGTGAAGACTTTATAGAGGTAGAGATGAAAGATAGACAGATAGAGACTAGAAAAAAAAAGGAAGATAGAGACTAGACCTTGCTGGACATGGTAATTAGTCTACATTAAGGGATTTGTCCTTAATCATAAGGCAATCAAGATGTTGCTTTAAGTGTGTGTGTGTGTGTGTGTGTGAGAGAGAGAGAAACAGAGAGAGAGAGAGAGAGAGATGGTATGTTCTCTGTGGTTAAATGCTAAAGTGTGGAGAATGAATGAATGTAGTAGAGAGGAAAGCCAATTAAGAGAAGGCTGCACAAGTCCAGACAACAGGCAGTGCTTTCTATATTGGGGACAGAGAGAAGACATGTAGGAGGTAGGGGGTAAATTGACGGGTCTTGACGTTGGAGAAGGGAGAGGGATGTGTCATGGATGATGTGTACTTTCTACTCCTGGCTTGTGGAGAGTGGACAGTTTCCTAAATGCTCTTCAATGTGCTTTCTCAGCTTCTTCCCCCTCGACACTATTTCTCTTGTGTTTCTTCAGTTTTCAGGATTAAAACCCCAATTCTGCAAGATGTTACTCAAACTTACAATACCATTTATTCTAGAGACCACAAACTGGTGACCAGTTTGACAGACAAATATGCTTTATTTTGTAGGATTTTTTCAAATTAAAAATATGAACCTGGTTAACTTCACATAAGATGAGCAGTAGCTTGCATTCAGAAGGCCAAAGGCAGCATGTTTTCTCTCATATGTGGAATATAGACCTAATACAAGTACAGCAATATTATGAAAAATGGGTCATGCTAAGGGAGGTCACATATGAGAGAGGGAGGATAAAAGAAGGAACTTAAGAAGGTGAGTATGGGTGATGTACTTTCTATACAAGAATGGATACAGAATTTTTAAACATGTCAAAGTCACCATAAGAAGGGGACTAAGGTAGAAAGAAGAAAAATAGATGAGATGAACTAATTTGGGTTATATATATATATATATATATATATATATTTGGGTTTTTTATATATATATATATTTGGGTTTTAGATATATATATATATATATATATATGCGTGGAAATGTCACAAAGAAACACCTTGTGTAGCTATCTTAAACAAACAAAAATGTCATTTTTTTTTCTTTTAAAGAAAGGCAGCACTTTGTCCAGGGAAGGGGGTAGAGGGTGGGGAAAGGGCATGGAGGGTGAATATAATGCAAATACTGTGTACACATGTGTGTAAGTGGAAAAATGATACCTGTCGAAACTGTTCCAGGAGTGGGGAGAGGGGTGAAGGAGAATGGTGGAGAGGGGTAAATTCAAGTATGACGTATTTGATATATTGTAAGAACTTTTGTGAATGCCACAATGTGCCCCACCCAGCACAATAAAATATTTAAAATAAGAGTTAAAAAGCATTTAAATCTTATGTTTACAAATTTAAGTTCCTTGTAGTACAGCTAATTTTTAATATAAAAGTTAGATATGTTTTAATTGTATGAAGAATCCACATATTACTCTAAATGCTTGCTCCTATCTTTTTTTCTTTCTAATTTGCTTTCAGAACTCTTAGAACGATCTTTAGCTCTTTTAAACAAAAGTCACCAACTCACTGACTTCATAGAAAAATTCAAGTGTGATGGACCTAATGTGAATGCTGAGTTGATTCGGGGGGCTCAGAGCAGCTGTCTGAAGATTGACAGCCTCCTTGAACTTCTACAGGACAGGAGAAGGCAGCTAGACAAGTATCTGCAGCAACAGCGGCGACAATTGGCTCAAGTTCTGCAAATATACCTGTGGGACCAACAAGAAAACCAGGTAACCCAGATGGGCACTGGGTGTTGTCTTGGCCTCAGCTGATTGGTTATTATATGGACAACATACAATTATGTGTATATTGTATTATACAAACTGCCATGTTGTTTCCCCAAATTAAGTACAAAGGAAGATGTTTATTTCCTCTCATTAAAATGTTGATTTCATGAATGGGAGAACACCTGTGGGCAGTTTTGAAAATGACTGTGTTCTATTGTTGAATTCTCTTCTTCTGGTCCAGATCACTACTTTTAGGCAGCTCTCTCTGAAATGCGAATTATAGTTTTCTGGGAAGTTAGTCATGGGTGGGTTCCTGTATTATGCTTGGTGCTAAAGGAAGTTTTAAAGATCTGTAAGTTCAAAATAAAGACAATGTTCTTAGAAGCACGATCTGGTGCCTGTGAAGAAATATGACTGACTGATGGTTGAATACTCAGAGGTTAGAGAGCTTTGGGGGTTAATGAGTTTGTTGGCTCATGAGAGCTCATGACCTAAACTGCAGTTACAGCTCTCAGTAGTTTTCGAGATGCTTACCCGGTATTCTTTCCATCCCAACCATTTGAAATTAAGAGTAGACAAAACTCTCTTTGCAAAGCCCCAACTCAAATAGCTGGTATACTTATTGCAACATTTCTGATTGTCCCATCAAATCTGGATAGGTTAAGGAAGGAAATTTTAGAGAGAAATTATGTGGAAGAAGACCTGCTGGTCTGGATGCATACAAAAGAGCTCTTTATGTTGTTTGGGTTTGGGTTTTTGGCAGTACTGTGGTTTGAAGTCAGGGCCTTGTATTTGCTAGATAGATACTCTTGTCACTTGAGCCACATCCCCAGCCCCCTTTTGCATGTTATATATTTGTCTGATAGAAATTGGAGGGACAGACATACAGCTGGAAGCAAATATGAGGCCAGGTGAAGCTACTTCTTATTTCAAGCTGGAAAAATGAGGACTTAAGTGATGGCTAACATTTGAACCAATACTTACTGAATACCTAGTATGTGCCAGGTCTTATTGTAAGTACTGGAGATATACAAAACACAAGGCAAAGTCACTTTCCTCTGTGAATTTCCTTCTAAATGTGTTTCTTGACCATGGCACTGTTGCACTCTAGGATGCTAGCAGTATCCTCAGCCTCTACCAACCAATTGCTGATAGAACATCCTTTAGTTGTGGCAACCAAAAGTGTCTCTAGATGTTTCCAGATCTCTCCAGTGGGCAAAATTACCCTCAGTTGAAAACCACTGTTTTAGAGGATGAAAAAGTCATAAGGTAGACAAATGACAGTGATGTGTTACTGAAAAGTTAGATAATACAGTGAATTTTCATATGTGTTCCTCTTCTATTAATAAAGATCTTCCAGAACGTAGCACAGGGCAGAGACCCAAATGCAAACAGCTCCGGTTATGTGTTTACACCTTCAGTCCTATATTCTTCTGCTTGCATTTTGTTGCTTTCCCCTCCAAGGCACTATGTGCCTTCTAAGCCACCTCCACTTCCATCACTTTGGCCAGCTCCTGTCCTGCTGAGCTTTATTTGTCAACTCCTCTTCCCCCATATTTGATGCTTATGCCACCCACCTTCACACATGCTCATTACTCAATGTACCATCATCCAATGTGATTGTCTTTTACTGGTGATCATGGTATAAAAAAGGGACATTAATGCTGGGACAAGAATCAGCTTAAAATTGTTTGTCAGAGAACATACAATTGTTCCAAAGCTCTCTGTCTTCCCTGTCATGAGAGGGTCTGTTATAGTTCGCTGCCCCCAAGTCCTCAGTGCTCTACATATTTATCCCTCCCTTACTCAGCCACTGACAACCAGTGGTCTTTTTACTGTCTTCGTAGTTTTTCCCTTTCTAAGGTGTCATCTAGTTGTAATCAAGCAATATATAGACTTTTCAGATTAATGTTTTTACTAATATATAATTTAGTTACCTCCATGTCTTTTCATGGCTTTATAGCTCATGTTTATTTAGGGCTAAATAATCTTCCATTGTCTGGATGCACCACAGTTCACTCATCCTCGCACTTACTGAGAAGATCTTAGTTGCTTCTAAATTTTGGCAAGTATGAATAAAGATGTTATAAACATTCATGTGTAGATTTTGGTTGAATATAAGTTTTCTATTCATTCGAGTAAATGCCAAGGAGCATAATAGCCAGATAGCATGGTAAGAACGTGTTTAACTGTCATCCAGCAATGAATGAGAGTCCTGTTGCTCCACATCTGCACCAGCGTTTGATGCTATTACTGGTTTGGATTGGGGCATTTTAGTAGGTGTGTCGCAGTAGTTCATTGTGGTTTTAATAAAGCTCATCTTTAAATTGAGGATATTTAACTTTCAGTTGTTCTAATGATTAAATAAAATATAGACATAAAGCAAATAATACAATGCCTAGCATTTTAGGAGATGCTTAATAAATATGAGTTTCCTGGCCCTCCCTCTTTTCTCCTTACATTTTACCAATTATCTAACCTGGGTTTAGCGTTAGTGATGTCACACATGTTGAGGTTCCTTAATGCTGCTCATTGTCAAAGGCTCTGTAGGCATAGTAAGAATGCACATTTGTGACTATGAGAATAAGACCATTTAGACTTCATAAACAGCCTATGAAACAATACTAATTTAATTATAGTAACAAGAATAAATACTGCTGGTGGAGTGGCTCAAGTGGAAGAGTGCCTGTCTAGCAAGTGTGAGGCCCTGAGTTCAAAGTCCCCCAAAAGATAAAAAAAAGTTTAAAAAATAAATAAATACTACTTTTAATATAGCCCATCTGTAAATAAGACAGTCATTTCTTTAAATATAAAAATTCAGGTTCTTAAACACCCCATATTATGTTTCCTCTTGCTAACAACAGTATAGCAACTAGAGTAATTAATAATAACAGTTGTCCTAGATTCTGGGACCAGACTGTTGGCTGGTTTTAAATCACAGCTCCACCACTTACAGAGTAGCTGAGCCAATTATTTAAACTCCCTGAGGCTCAGTTTTCTCTACAAATGTGGATAATAATATCACGTGACTCCAAGTGTTATTAGGATGATCAGAGGAGTTTTTATATTTGTCAAGTGCATTGGACAGCACTGCTATATTAGTGTCAGCAACTTTATCATCATGTATGAAAGGGAAAGTAAAGGTCTGTCATGTTATCTACCCTACCTCTTCCACCACCATTGGTCTTGAATTGAAGGCCAATTTCATTATGTTGAGTTCATAGGATATGATCAATTAAAAGTGACTTTTATAATCTTAACAGCCATACTTATTCAATGGGTGTGGGGAACAGAGTAGGAGAAGTCTATGAGGACCTAAGCACAGTTGTACTCAGTATTCCACAGGCTGAGACTGGCACAGCCCCAGCTGCAGAAGAGAGCGAGAAGGCAAGCTGCAGCTCAACTGCTTTTCCTAAGTTGTTTACATTCAGAGAAAGAAGTAGGAATGCCGGTTTCTCCTGTTACAATGTCATACCCCTCCCTGAGAACTGTGCTCAACCTCCTTGTTTACCACTGGGTATAAAAGACTCACTGAAGGAGAATGCAAGGCTTTTGGATATGGGAACCTTTTTGATGGGAGGTTTTTGGCTTAAAGGAAATTGCAGAAGGGAGAATTGCTGAAGGGAAAAAAATTACTAAGAAACTTAAAAAGAGAACATGGGACAGTGCAAGTCTGTACCAAGAACTTTACACATAGGCTTTAGAAAAGCTAAGCTAAAGAAAAGCTAAGAGAAAACATGGGACAGAGCAGGTCTAAGGATAGAGACTTTAAAGAACAAAAAAGAAGACTTTAGAAGCAAGGTTTTAAAGAATTATAAAGGAGTAAGGCCTTAAAGAATAAAGATAGAGGAAAGAAACAGAGAAAAGAGAAGTAAAGAAACAATGAGGCTGTTGTGCATCTCCATCTGAGTGCCCAACACACCTGGCCCCAACTTTCTGCATGTCTATCTGTCTATCCTTTATCCTTTTGCATCTCCTGTTGCCCCCAGTTAGCCCCAGTTAGGTTTAGTAGTAACAAGGGAGCGAGAGAAAGCTTGCTCCAAATGGGTACTCAATTAATAATTTAAAACAAAAAAGATATTTTTCCTACTTATGGCTTGATAATGCTTGTTTGTTGGAAATGTGGAGTAGGTCCTGACCCATGAAGATGATTGCTGTTAGGATTTTGATGTACCACCTTTTAGACTTTTATCCAAGCATCGGCCTAGTCCTAGTACACACACATTAATTCTAGGAACAAACAAATAAATAAAAACTAATAGAACTTACATATATACACACATACTGTATTATAACCTGGATTTTATTAATTTGAACAAATCATAGACATGTTCTTGTATTAAAAGCAAAATAAATAATTTTGATGGATATGTAGTATTCTGCTATTTGAATATAAAATAATTTAAAAATATCTTCTTGATGAGAAAGTATAACTTCTTCAATTTCTCAGTAATATACACAATAATTAATGGCTACAGTGTTGAGCATTATATAAACAAGGAAATGTTTTAAAATCTAGTTAGGTATTGCCATAATTTTCTTGTATGAATTTTTAAGGTTTCCTGGATGTCCTATCTTAAAGTTTGTAGATGATACAGTGATTTAGGTTAGCAGCTAGGACACAGGTTGACGGTCACTATCAATAGGTTAGGTTCCATGATTTGTGCTCCTGGATAATCCTAGAACAACATGAAACCACAAGTCATGGAGGGAAAGGATTATTTTTATCTGTTTCTATACCTGTTTTAAGGGTATATAGGAGCTGTCAAACTCCACATTAATAAAATATCAGCCCTGTCAATCATTTTAAGCATGCAAGATGGTGGGAAATTAAGTGGAGAATTAGAACTAAGATTACTGATGAATAGTAATGTGGATGTGAATATCCCATGCAGCTTCTCTCATAAGGGTGATCTGAACAATAGATTTGTGCTTCTCTGTTTCTAAGTGCTCATGGACTAATGTTTTAGAAAATGTCAGATAATTCTTCTTTGCAAAGGAAG